GGGGAGGGGGAGGAGAAACCTGGGCGCAGAGATTATCATGGACTTGCTTTGAATCCCCTGCTGTGGTAGGGCCTGAAACACTCATGATTTGACAGAATTTAACATTGCTTCTGGAGAAAACACAATTCTAGTCGCTATTCAAGTCCTGGCCTGCTTGCCTCTGTCCTGACCCAATGTGGGAACCAGAAACTGCTGTCCCCAAAGCAGCAAAGCTTGTCCACCTTTCATCCCTGAGCACCGGGGACAGTCTGACTGACAGCAGCATAGAGAGTCCACAGCCCGAGCCTTGTGGGAGGACAGAAGTTACCTTCCAAATAAGGCTTCGTGGCCTGGGCACAGTAGACATCTGTGTCAAGGACCGTGGGGTCTAGAGGTGACCTGCAGGCATCTGTGAGGGAGGGGACACCAGTCCAGCCACGTCTTACCACACAGCTATTAGGCTGCTCCTACCGTCTGTCCTGCTTTTATGATTGAGGAAACAGAACCACATAATGATTTGCCTAGAGCCGCCCAGGTCCTGGGTGGTGGAAGGATTCCAGTCCAGCAGCCTGACCCACTCTTGACGAAGGGTCTCCCGCTAGGAACTCCCTTATTTTTCACCTGTGGTTCAGAAATGTTGTGACACTTGCTCAAGGCCAATGAGTTAGTGATCAGGTCTTATTTTCTATTCCCTGTCAGGGGGCTCTGGCCAAGGCCACAGAAGGCAACCTTGTATCAGACATCACATTTTAGACGGCTGCCTTCCAGGCGCCTGGGCACTGCTGAAGAGTGATGGCGACTCTCATGTCAAAGTGCCATGTGCCAATCAGTTCCTGAGCCTCCTTGGAGCGTGCTTATGGTTAATTCGAATGACTGGTCTGCAGGCCAAGGGAGGCCTATGGAACTGAGTCACGGGGGCTTTGCTGACAATAAAGTGATCATGGAACCTTGTGATTTTCCAGATGGAGACATGGGGGGGCCTGAGGAACACCTGAGCTCTTTCATAGGAAGCCAAGAGCATCGCGATCAAGAACTCATCACAGGATGAAAGTCACTACAAGATATAACGAGGGCACCACTGCATCCAGCAGCAAGAGATGATGTGTCACTGAGCCCCCCCACTCGCTGTGCCTGCAGCCTAGAGTGCCTTCCCCTAGCTCGGCCCCTCTCTGGCTCACCCCGGTCTCCTCTGCCACCCCAGGCCACTCTCTTCTTTCCATCCACAGGTCTGGGCTTGGTCCTGGATACTTATTTGTATTATGGCTAATTTTCATTCTCAGATTGACTGGATTGGGACGGCTCAGTTTGTTAGAGGTTAAATCTGTGACTGTGTTTCCCGGAGAAGAAGAAGGCTTTCCCTGAATGTAGGCAGCACCATGTCATGGGAGCCCAGACTGAAGGAGAGGAAAGGGGTGCCCTTTCTCTCTCTCTCTCTTCTTCTTTCTCTCTCTCTC